CCCTTCGCTTCCAACCCTTTCACCCCTCTCCCCGCCCCGACCCGCCGCTATTCTCCGGTCGCCTCCTCACCGCGCAGCCCCCGATCGTCCATACCAAACGACGTCTCGACATGACCGCCACCACGCCCGCGCTTTCATCGTAGTTTTGGACGTCGATCGGATGAGGTTTGGCCGTCGCCGTGGCAGCCGACGGCAGAGGGGATACAACCGTTGGCGACGTACCACGGCGGCCGCGGTAGCTTCCGACGAGTGCTCCAGAGCGGCTAGTACCCGGCCGCCAACCACCCCTGCTGCATCAAGGTGATCATCGCGGCCTCGTTGCCACCACGACCGCAAGGTATTCGATACTTTGCCCACAAAGGTATGGACAGTGAAGATGAGTTTTTCTTCCACCACTTTATTTGTTCATCGGACGATTCGTCGTCGGATTATGAAGATCTTGTGGTGGTTGCACTGGTCGTTCACGACCACATTCAACGACAGCTTTCTCGGTACAGGGGGTCACTCCCTGGCCATGCTCCCAACCTGAACCGCAACAGGAAGAGAGGCCACACCCCGCTCTATGCCGATTACTTTGCGAACACCCCGCTCTTCAAGCCGGATAAATTCCGTCGCCGTTTTCGAATGGCAAGGCATGTGTTCAATCGTATCCGAGAGGGAGTGGTTGCTCATGCCCCATACTTCGAGTGCAAGATGGATGCCCTTGGCAAGCTTGGATTCTCCTCTTACCAGAAATGCACCGCGGCCATCCGCATGCTTACATATGGAATTCCAGGCGATCTGGTGGATGAATATGTGCGTATGAGTGAGACAACATGTCTGATGTCAATGTACAAGTTCTGCTAGGCTGTGATCGAGGTGTTTGGCCCGGAGTACTTGAGGCAGCCAACTGCCGCTGATACAGAGAGATTGTTGGCGACCAACGCAGCTAGAGGCTTTACAGGCATGCTTGGCAGCATAGATTGTATGCACCAGGAGTGAAAGAACTGTCCATTTGCTTGGCAGGGCCAGTACAAGGGGCATGTCAAAGCGTGCACTATCATATTAGAAGCGGTGGCTTCGCAGGATCTTTGGATATGGCATTCTTTCTTCGGCATGGCAGGTTCTCACAATGATATCAACATGCTGCAGCGTTTTCCAGTCTTCGCAAGGCTTGCAGAAGGCCACTCCCCACTTGTCAACTTTGAGATCAACGGCCACCGGTACAACAAGGGATACTATCTAGCTGATGGTATATATCCTCAGTGGTCAACTTTTGTGAAGACAATCTCGAAACCCCAAGGTGAGAAGGGAAAGAGATTTGCCCAAATGCAAGAGAGTGCTAGAAAGGATGTGGAACGTGCTTTTGGTGTGCTTCAATCTCGGTGGGGTATCGTTCGGAACCCTGCACTGTCATGGGATGAAACGAAGCTTTGGAAGGTGATAAGTGCTTGTGTGATCATGCACAACATGATCGTCGAGGACGAGCGTGATAAGAGTATCTTCGACCAAGGATTTGATTATCAATGTGAAAATGTTGAGCTCCTGCATCAAGAACCGGCCACATTTGAACAATTTGTTCAATTCCATTGTGAGTTGCGTGATTGGCACACTCATTTGGATCTTTAAAATGACTTGGTTGAGCACGTGTGGGATCATATTGGCAACCAATAGATGTATTGATTCATTTTATGTTCATTCAAGACAATTTCGATTTGGTTGTAAAATTATTTTATTAGAGACAATTTCGATTGGGTTGTAAAACTATTTTTATTTTCAGACAATTAATATTCGGACGTGAAAACTAGTTTTGATATGAAAACATGGGCACTTTTAGCCTGGCGGATAGAATGGGGCAAACGGATGTGGTCGCGTGCTGGACGCATGACTACCGCATCCGAGGACAGGCCTGGACACTTCCCCATCGCCCTATCCAAAGGGACAAAATCCGATCAAATCGGGCGTTCGTTTAAGATCGCGCGGTAGAGTTGGCCTAATGTACTGTATGCCAAAGTCGATTGCACGATTGTGGTGTGGCTGCGCAGTGAAACGGTGAGGCGGCGAGGCCGTGGTGGCGGCGTTGCGTTATCAGATTGAGTTTGGCACAATTTGTCACTTGTCGGCGTGGATGGGGTCTGCGACATTGCTTCGTGCGTGTGGCTACGCTGCTGCAGACCTGCAGTGTCCGGTGGCTGGGCATTACTTGACAAAGGACACTGTATTCTACAGTATAATTCTAACAACAAAAATGGTGTGATCAGCACACGGCATGCTGTTGACACTCCTTGGAGCAGAGCAACCCCCTGACCAAATCATATCCAATTGCTTTACTCAGCATTTTTGGAATACATCAACATAAGCCCCTAGGTTAAACAGAATAAATCTTTCGATAAACGCACTGACATGCGCTTAATGTCTTACATATATTATTAACACGACATATGTTCAGACACAAGATCGATGAAGAAACAAAAGACTGAAAATTGATTTGTCTGACGGAGGCGGGACATATCGGATGTCCGATAATGAGCAGAAAATAAAGCAGGTTAAGCCAAAGTATAGACCATGTATTCAATTGGCCCAATGTTGGTGGTTTTGGAAGGCTTTGACACATCACGCCAATGTGCTCCACATCGCGCCAATGAAAAAGGCCATCAATATGGCCACAGAATATATCAAACGACCATGTCCTTTAAATAAATCGACAACAAGCAACCACAGTAGGACCGACAGTGCCTGCAAAGCCGGGGAAAGTGTCAGTACAGCACATTGCAAGAATGCATATATGCACGCAGTAATTAGATGTCACACTCCAGTTAATGATCGAGGAGGATTAGAGTACAACACAATAATAGTCTAGAACTTTTTGCAAGAAAAGAACTTAGAATTCGCGGATTATAATAGGAGGTAATTGACTATGTGTAGTTTGATTTTGATATAGTAGAAACCAATATTAGATCAAAGAGCTTGTTGATTTTAGAGTGGATTCTGTTGTCACGTAAACAACGGTAGACATGCACTACTATTACAATGGAATTGAAGGGGGTAGTTTTTTTTCGAATAGAAGGGGGTGGGAATTGTTTAAAATAAAACCGAGATGATTTTCCTGATTTGTATCCTGCATCGTCTGCCTCGACTTATGTAGTTTTAGGGTTATGGAGGCACGATAAATTCCGGCCCTTATTGGTGGGAGGGCTTCTACTTCGATTTTGGGTGTTTTTTAGTCTGTTTAGGGTTTGTGTCTTGCTGAGAAAGGCAATGTGGCGGTGGCTCCCTGAAGATGGAATAAACTTCTCCCCACCTAGCCCTTGTCCCAACAGTGCGTCTTCCGTCATCGAAGAGCGTGTGAAGGTGTGTCTTCGGTAAATCTTGTGGGATTCCGTCAGTGTTTGTTTTCCGTGGATCTGCGCGGATTCGGTCTTCGTTCATGTGTCTATAGGATGGATCCTTTGATATACGCTTCTCTTCATTATCTACAATTGCTGCTCTAGTGCACTGGTCCTTCTCTCGAAACAGGCTTCTGTCCTGCTTTATTATAGATAAAGCAAAAACCGAACAAAGAATACGTCCAAACAATATAAGGTCGTGAGGTCATCCTCATACAATGCTGATCCCAAAATAATCGGATTACACAGGAAGCAAACGACTACACTACCTAAAGGGACAAAGGAAGATCTGAGTGCAATGTCATGCCACGCCCAGTAACACCTAAGCTTGACGGCAACCCCCTCAGGAGAGAATACAATGCTAAGTGTCGCCGCTGCCGAGTCCACACCGAACAAGGGTCTTCATCCGAAACCGTGCCACAGATAGGAACACCACGAATAAGTCTTCAAGAAGAGAGTGGTGTCCGCAAGCGTCGCCGTCATCGGGGACAAAGCACAGAGCTTTCACTCGACAGCTCCCTGGTGCCACCACAAAGTCTCCAGGACAAGTGCGACGAAAACATATCGCCCCAAATCTGTATCGGGGTGACGCCACTACCAATGATAGAGAGTGCGCCCAAGCTATCTGCCGCTACACCTCTTTGCCGCTCACACGACCAAGAGGGAAAGCCACCACTACAAGCATGGCACTCGCCAGAGAGCCAACCATGTAGACTACCATCCCGGGCCGCCGCCCCGACATTCTTGTCCGAGACATCACCAACCGCCCACATCATGATGCACCAACTACAGTAGGAAGAGTAGAAGGCGCCTTTTTTCACACATAGACTGGCATTACGTACAAAATATGGGTCAACGCCTCCACAGTGCCGCCCATGCCTGCGTCTCTAGCCATTCCCGGGGGACCACGAAAGACACAACCCCATGACTACCGACGGTCGTCGCTGAGCAAGATCGCATGATGAAGCCCGTGGCCTTCGACGCCAATTAGCCGGACGGAGTAGCCATGTCTTGACCACCACCATCGACCATAGCACCCACAGGGAGAGAGACCTCACCGCCCGCGGGCACCACTGGGACCGAGCCCCCTATCGCCTACTGCGGAATAGGAGCTTCGACCCGCCTCGTGCACCAATCTGATCGACCTGAGAATGAGTCCCAAGTCCCGACCATCTCCGCCGCGCGACCATCCCATGCCACCGGCCCGAACCTAGGCGAAGGGAGGAATCACCACCACCCGCACCCCGCAGCCTCCCGAGCCACTGTAGTGGCATGTTCTACAAGTGCAACCATGGTGCTCCCACCATGACGTTGTCATACACAGAGCAAAGCCAAGCCCCCAGGAAAGGGGAGCAACAACCGCCTGCAAGCATCTCGGGGCACCCGCAGCGTAGGCCGCCAGATTTGGCCAACCCAGACCGGCCACCATGGCAGCCATGACCGTGAGCAGCCCCCAACACCAGAGCCACGGGCCAACCCAGGCGTGCACCACATGCACTACCCCGCCGCCGACACCCTCTACCCCATGCGCCATGCCGCACCATGATAGCCGCGGCCAGGAATCACACCGCACCAGCCACTCGCAGCCCCCGCCACCCCGCGACCAGTCGAGCCCACACAGCCACTACAGCATGAGCGGCCGCCCTCACCACTGGCACAACCGTCCACGACATCGCCGCCTCGCCTTGCACGAGCACCGCGATTCTAGGTGGTTGCCGCATCCCATGATGCAGGGGACCCACTAAGGAGGAAGAGAGCTCTGACGCTTCCTACACCGACTGGGTTTTGCCCGATGGTGGCGAAAGTGGTGGGGCGGCAAGAAAGAGGTTGGAGGGGGCGTGTGTGCCAGGGTTCGCCACCTTTTCGCATGAGCTTGTCGGGCAAAGCGTTTTTTTTCGTGCACTAGTTGTGTAGGTCCTTAGCATGATGACTTTTCGACTGAGTGCTACAACAAGGTCTATTAGGTTCCGATAAGAGAGGGATGATGACGGTGGCATGACTTTGGCTCGCTATGGTGATTATAGTCGTTGCTAGATGATCTATAAACATTGGATTTATAGTTCTAGCGTTCTTTTTATTGCCATTGTGTATGGTGTTTGATGAATCGATGGAAAATCTTTCCGAAAAATAAGATCATATGATTATCAAAAACAATGCCACGTTGGATCGCTAGGAGACAAAGAGAGATCGAGCGATCCCTCGGCATGTCCACGTCATCACCCTCGTACTGTGCATGACAGCCAATGGCGAGAGAGCTTTGTGCTAGCCAATTGGATGTGCAAGAGAGGGAGAGAAAACGCATCGGATGGGGACAAGAGAGACAAAAGCAGTCCAATCCCACGCAGCTTCCTCTATCTCGCATCTCCTTAGGGCATCTCCAGCCATTGGCCCTCCAGGAGGGGCAAAAAATCGCCCCCTGGGGGCGCACCGGCGCTAAACCGCGCACTGGGGGCGTGATGCCCCCCAGTCGCGGCCCCCCACAGGTTTTTAAAAAAGTCAAATACGGCGCAAACACGACTCAAATTTAACGCAAACATCGGCGAGTTCGTTCAAATTTAAACATACTTTACAAAAAAGGGGAAAAACTACCGCGGGCTACCCCCGCCGTCTCCCTCGCCGCCCGCCTCGCCGCCCGCTCACGCGATTCTACATACCGAGGAGGCGGTAGAACCGCGTGTAGTCACCGTCGTCGTCGTCGTCGTCGTCGCCCCCGCCGACGCCTCCGCCGTCCCTGCTGCATCCCCCCCCCGGTTTGCGCGGCGGGTTGGACGGTCCGGGCGCGTCGTCGTCGTCGTCGCTGTCGAGGACCACGACGCTGTGCTCGTCCTCGCGCCCACGCTTGCGGGCGGCGATCTCCTCCAGGGCCCGGCGCTGCCGGACCATCTCGTCGCGGAGGTAGTCGTCCCGCGCCCACCGCAGGGCGTCCTCGTCGGAGAAGTCACGCCGGGCTATCTCCTCGTACTCCAAGGGGAGGCCGTGCTCCGGCTTGGGCTCGACGAGGACGAAGCGGCCGGTGGGGGAGGCGTTGTCGCCGATGCGGACGCCGGAGCTGCGGGTGCGCGCGCTGATAGGCGCGCCTTGGGGCTCCGGCTTGACGGGGCAGAGGTGGAGGCAGGGGGAGCCGCCGGACGAGGAGGAGGACCCCTCGGTCTCCATGCGCCTTGGGGTCCAGGAGCTTCCCCGGCGGCGTGTGAAGGACGGGGGAGCGGGGTACTCGAGGCGCGGCGTGTTGCCGCCCTCGATGTACTCGAGGACGGCCTCCAACGTGTGCCCGGGCATACCCCACCACCGACGCCGGTCGACGGCGTTGAGCCTGCCGGAGGGCTCGACACCGTTGGTGGCCTCGAGCTGCTCGGCGTGACGGCGGCGGAAGTAGGGCTCCCAGAGCGGGCTGTTGGGGACGTACCATGGCCCCTCCCTCGCCGCACGCGGCAGGACGAGCGGACGCGTGCGATCTCCGCACGCCGCGCCGCGCCGGTGGGTATCGGGGGCACCGGCACGCCGCCAGCGCTGATCCTCCACGCCTCGGGTACCCGCATGTCCGGCGAGACCGGGTACTCGGCCTCGAAAAGGAGGCGAGCCTCGCTCTCGTGAAGATGGCGGCGGCCGAAGCCGTTCGCTGCCGCGCCGTCGCCTGGGAAGCGCTCGGCCATGGGTGCTGGAGACAGCGAGAGAGAGGAGAGGGAGGAACGACGACGGCGAGAGAGAGGAGAGGGAGGAACGACGACAGTGAGAGAGTACGAGTCGCCGAGTGCGCTGGGGCGCGTCTTATATAGGCCGAGGCGCCGCCCGTGCGCGAGCCGCCGTGAGTACGCGTGACGGGCGAGGGAGGGCGAGGGACGCGCGTCATTCGGTCTTCACTGCGCCGCCCGTAGGCATCAATGGCGCAGGCTGACCGGCGCGGCAGCGCGGCAGCTTTGGCATTGATTCGTCGCGGGAAACGAGGCGATGAGGACGACGAAGGGGCGAGAAGAGGGTAGAGTCGCTGACGCGGCAGGCCCGCGGCTGTTTCGCGCCAAAACAGTTCGCCCCGGCGCTCCCGGGCTCCCCCCAGCGCACCGAGTTCGGCCTGGGTCTGTCAACGCTGTTTTCGGCCCAAGACAGCGAAAATCGGGCTCCTAGGAGCGTGACTGGGCCGATTTTTCGGCGCCGGCGCGAAAAAAAACGCCTAGGAAGGACTTCCTGGGGCGCGGCTGGAGATGCCCTTATCTCCACCCGACCGGCGGCTAGGGTTCCGCCGGCGCCGCCAAACCCACCTCCACCATACCTTCTCCTCCAGCCTATCCCCACGGCCGCCCCAGGCTAGAAGGCGGGTACCGCCGTCACGAGCATGACCCCCTCCTCGCTGGCGGGCTCAGCAACGACTTCGTCTCCATCTGGAACCCATCGCCGGCGCGGCTGCCGCGGCCACCATCACATCCGACAGGAGCAGCTCGCAGCGGGTCTTTCTCGTCTCCATCTCCAAGCCACGCGAGCGCCGGCAGTGGCACAGAGCTGGCGGAGAAGGCGTCGGTGGTTGGATCTGCCGCACGGGAGGCGGCGGCGCGATGCGGCCTTGTCATACTCTTAGGCATCAGTGAAATCCGGTAGGAGCACTTTCTTACTCTACTTCTGTGGCAACTTCTTACTTCCCCTTGTCGCTGGTTTCTGTACGTCTCTCTACATCTGATAAGAGATGATTGACACTTTGTTTTATCATAACAGTTCTGCAATCTAGGAACAAGGCCAACTTCAGGAGCTGATTGAAGCTGCACTAAATTTAGCTGCAAAGTAACATCAAAACAATTGGTGGGCAGCCTCCTCCAGGAAGAAAATTACAGTTTGGATCAGGATCTGTAGTCCATAGGATGGTCAGGTCCTGATAGATTCAGAAGGTAAACAAATCTTTATATCTATTTTGCATCTAGGATTGATGAAGTAAATGATTTTTACATATGCTCATTTATTTGTGTAAGCTAATTAATGGTGCCTGCTGATGATAACTAATATCAAGTCTTTGATTCTTTTGTAGACCAGGTCATACCATCATGACTATGTTCGATTTGGATCCTTAGGTACATCAAATGTGTCTATCCAAGAGGAGCACAATTTTAGAGTGTTTCTTTATGGTTCTGATTCCCCACCCCCATGTTAATATCTCTGTATGATTACCACATTACAAGTCTTTTTTTATATCCAAAAGGGGGACTAGCAATCTACAGCATCAGAAGGATGATTCAGAAGCACACGAATGAAGCCAAGAATCGCAAACTGCAAGGCATCCTTTTTAAATTAGTGCAGGTTTGCAACATCTTACACTTGGTTTGATAAGAATTATTGCGCTTAACATTGTAGCTAGTAAGCACACACTTGAGACCGTTTCCCACCTTATCTGATTATGTCCTGTTTCTCAGGGCGAGGAAGAGTCGAGAGCAAAATAAGAGGGCTTTTACTATCCTATGTGATCTTCACCGTCGAAGGGTCTAGTTTGATTACTGCACATCAAATGCTATATGCGATGTTTGTTTCCATCCTTCTTCGAGGTGGATTTTTGTAAGGAAATGTAGGTGTCTACTGTTGGTTGCTTCCCATCTAAACAAGTGTATTCTACATGCAGGCTTATGACAGGTGCTATTTCATTGCTCATTGGGTATGAAAATGTTGAGCAAGAGGATGATAGTGATGCCAGCAGCGACGATGAAGCAATTCAAAACCCAAATATTATACTTAGTAAAGAGGATGTTTACAAGGTGATTTGGATGTTTCTGCATATTGGCGCTCTATTGATAGTATTTTAGATCTTATGGTTTCATTTGTCTCTTCTGATGCATTGTGTCAGTATGTGCAGAGCTAGACGCGGCGAAAGCTGCAGACGCCACGAGCGGCGGCGCCGTTCCTCGTGGTCTATTACCAATCGCCGCCGCCCGCAGTGGTTGCGCCGCTGCTATTTCGGTGACCAGCGGCTCACCCTCTTCTCGTCCGTCATGGCGCTCACAGGAGGTTATGTTCGAGATCTTAATAACTTTTTTTTCATGTGCTCACTATCGCTTGATTCCCTTCTATCAGATGTGGGATGGGCTGATTTGGATGGCCAAATACGCCTGGCTGTGATCCAAACATTCTTATTTTGCATTGGATATGAGTCAAGTCCTCTATTCTTTATTTCCACCAGTGTGATTGTACTGATTTACTGATACCCTGTAGTTAGCATAAAGGGGAGCTTGCTTATCTGACAAAAGAATTTTATTATAAAGAGTTGTTGTATTGGGATTTTAGAATAAAGTGCTTCACTAGAAGTCCATAAGAAAAACTTTGGTACTTCATAGGATTAACTCTGGTACTGCTTCATAGGATTTCGGTGATATCATGATATAGTGCAAACTTTCATACTACTTATTTGATGAATGCTTCTACATATTTCTAGGCTGTGCATTTCTGTGTTTGATTACTGTATTTTCTCTCAAGCCCTGTTGGACTTGTATCATTTGTGTTATATGTCATGGAACTGAAACTAGCATTTTGGACATCCCTTGGACAATATTGTATACTCTGACTTCAATTCCATGAGAGTACTGAACTTGGCATTGAGAGTCATCCCATGGAACTGAAGTTGGCATTGATCTCTAAAAATAATATTAGTGTAAGCAACATAAAGAACATAATTTGTATATTCCGTCTTGTTTTACCTTTTACTGGAGTACTGTATTGATCCACACAATGGACAGACACATATAATTAAGCAATTAGCAAAAAAAGGCATTTAAGGCTTTGCTTGCATGGTCGAAATTACTGGTCGTGGAGGTCTTCAATAGCTTCCATAACTATATGAGAAAACTCTGCGAATTTCTGTCTCATTGTCTGGTTATATTCAGTTCACGTTTTGAAGTTCTATACTGCCTGGATGCTAAGAGGAGTTTTGTAGACATATTTGTTTTTTAGACATCACTCAGCGCCAGAGTTTAATTTTTTTATTCAACACTTTATTTGTGGAAATATATTTAACAGAGTTAATAACTGCAGAAAATTGGTAACACTGCACTCAGTTAAGATTATGAGATATCTGTTGTATGTATTATTTATCAATACTACCTCAATTTCTTCCTATCGTATTTGCATGTATCTCATGCTCTTACTAATGTTTTAGCCTTCTATATTTTGTTTCGAAGAGAGCTCAGGACAATGGCTATGAGGAGGATGAAGGCGCAGCTTCTACTTATTTATTGTCGCAAAAGGGTCACAAGAAGAAACACATTATGCAGCAGAGGATTAATGGTTTAGGACCATATGAAACTGACGTATCTTATGGTCCGCGATGTTCACCTCCTCTATTGCGGTGGAAGCCGGAAATGCTAGAAAAGCAGTGATGGAGAAGAGCTCACAGTGGTATGTTCTTGCTCACTTGCTCTCACAAGCCCCTCACGTTGATTAATTTTTCTCCTGTATGACTAAATTCATGTACTGAATCTTTGATTATCTAAGGGTCTCAATACTTATCCAACTCTGCTCTGCACTGATGGTTGCTCAATGATCGATCATCGCATGGTGCTCTGTCTTTTATTCTTATTGTCCTGATTAGTAAAATGGAGCAGGAGTTCCCTGGTTCCAACAGAGAGAAAAATCTAGATCAATTTCAGAATTAAATCCACTTGAACCTTCTGTGAATAAACATTCACCTTATGAAAAAAAGAATGCAAATCAAATTTTAATTTTATGTTCTGAGTCTAAGCAAACAAACAAATATATTGTTCTAGCAATAGCCCAAATGGATTCGATTATTCTTTCCTAGCAAAGTAAGATTGGCAAAAGGTACAAGAATGTTTCTGTTTCACGAGGAAATTAATTCGAAATCTGACAGAATCAGATATTGATCTATTGGATCTAAACAAAGTATATTAAGATATTGTTTCACGAGATATTTCTGTTTCACAATGTAGATTCAATTTTTTGGGAATTGCCCTTTTAAGATTCAGGATGCATGTGCACTGGGGAAACCAGGACCGTTGTTAGTGCAATAATTTATGCCTGCATATCCATCTAGGCATGATCACTTGATTGCATGAACTATGTCCCTGTGAACTCCTTACTATATTACTATGTGACTGTGCTAAGTTGATTATTGAAATGAGAGTACATCTTAATGTGTTATCTCATTTCTGTAATGTTGGGTTTTCATAATCCAACTATGTAAGAATAAATGCTACTGGTTTTTATGATTAATATGGATTTCAGTTGTCTAATGTTGCCCGTTTTCTAGCATCAAAATTTAAATTTCAATATTTTGGTATATTTGATGTAATCAGTGACAACCTTTGTTATGCTCTGACATTCCTTCACTTTTTAGGGGTTGCTTTCTTCTCCTTGATGGAGAAAGTTCTAATCTTAGTGAATTTAAAGCATACCTCCCATTTGTAGTATCATCCAGAGTTTGTAATAATGCCAAGAAGATGCCAAACAATATACAGTTGAAGATATCAACTCCAATGAATTACTAGCTAAAGACCTTTGAGAAATTTGGTCCAGTTTATAACAACATTTCCTTGTTAATTTTTCTATGCTGAACTTGACTGGTAGGTCTCAGTACAAAAATAGCTTATGTGCTACTGCAAGGTGATGCCAAAGCTGGCGAATTTTCAGCCTTTTTGGTGGCTTTGCTCCTCTTCTAAAGAAGTTACCTTCAGAGGAGACTGGAGAAGACATGGAAGCTACAGCCAATTTGCATTGGTAACTGATCATTAAATACCCATAGCACAACATCATCAGTAGTCAATAAGAGTAATTTGCTATCAACATTATTTCATCCATGACTATGAGATATATTAACTCATGAAAATAGCTGAATTGGATCGATTCTGAGAACATGAACCTCTTGCTTGTAAGCATACATAATCTGGAGTAGCATGGATGGCATGCCCTGTTATTTCATATTTGTCGCATGGTCTGACCTTTGATAGAAGAAGCTGATTTCTTTATCCCGTTTGAGGTATGTAGACCTGCCAAATTTTCTATGGAGTGCAGCGTCAGTCATTGCCAAGGTCCGCGTCTACGTGGACGACCACTACTTCTGTGACACCCACGAGAGGGACATGGTCTACATTGAATACTACTCCAATAGCGAGTCAATGATGGCGCCGACGAGCAGCTGCTCTAGTAGGCGATGAGGAAGGCGAGCATCGGAACAGTGTAGCGCGGTGACAGTAATAAGAGTTATCTGTAATGCATTTTCCATGCCATCCGGCTGTATCTCTGTATGTCTTCTTTCTTGTGCTATAAATACAAACATATGCAAGAAAAAACTATAATGGGTGGTCCGCATTATCTCTACAACCAGTTTAAGTTGTTCTGAACTTATAATTTCTCTGTTGCAATACATATACATGTGCACTAAGCCTCTTAGAGACCAAACAAGTCAGCTAAATGGGCAGCAACATGCCAGGCAGTGCACCATCATGCCTAGGATTGTTAGTAAACAGTTGACATAAGATCTGTGTAGAAAATTATATTTGTCGTTTATGGAATTATGTTGAATGGTTGCCAACAGAATGTTTGAAGAATTGCTTGTTTATTTGCTGAATTTGGTTCACTTTTTGATGAAAAGGAGCATTGTATGTAATGCATCAGTTGTGCATGCATGCATGTTATCAATCAGAGCTAAAATTCCATGGATAGGGGCGTCACCTTACCTAGCACCGCACAAACTTTTCTTTAGGCGGAACTTTTCTTTAGGCGGTGCCACCGGGTGGCGCCCCAAACACTAGTATTAAGAATACAAATACAGCGGTCGCATTCAGGGTGAACTTACCCGGAAAAGGCACCGGGTGAGTTTGGCCTTCTCTTCCTCGAGGCTCGAGGTAACGAACGGACTCCTCACCGTCTCCCAGGAGATGGAGAAGCCCGTCGATGGCGCCGCTGCGCTGTCTCCGCCGGGTGCCGTTTCCGCGTCCAGCAGTGACGCCGCGAACTCTGATTCCTCACGCGCCTGGCCGCAAGCGCAGCCGCACGCGTCGCAGGGCATCGATGATGGCGGCGACGAGCGAGCGAGTTGCCCGGTTTGGAATCGTGGGAACGCTTGCTCCTTTTTCTAATCGTGGGCTAGATTTTATTTTTATATTTTCTAGATTAGTTGTGGGCTAGATTTGTACTACTATTTCTTTATCTACTACCACTATAAAAGAAAAAAAAAGGCGGAAAATCAGATCATCCTATCCATCGAAACCTACAATCTGATGGTCCACATCTCTTCGGCATACTAAACGCGTTTTATACTTTAATTACCCACCATGCCATTACCACCGCCGCTCTCCCATCGCGTGCGCATGCTTCCCACCTCGAGCGAACAGTTAAAAAAAGAGGAACGCGGCCACCATCCACGCACGCGCACCTCGAGCGAACAGTTCACCAAAAAAGGAACACGGCCACCATCCACCCACGCGCCGCCGCCAGCGCTCCTTTGCCGCCCCTCTGTCGTCGCCGCCGTCCGGAATAGCCCATCCTCGTCGGCGCCCGCAGCAGCAGCGGGCCCTGGCGTTCCTTCGTCCTCGTCGCCGTCTGCAAATCCCGCACGGCCCCTGCCCACCCCGACCATCCTCGCATGCTGCCTGGGCGACTTGGCGGGCCGGCGGACCGGTGGACCTCCGCCTCCACGCGCCGGACGACCTCCGCCTGACCACCTCTTTCCCGACGTGCCGGCTGACTGGCGACCGCCTTCTCTACGCGCCGGCAGACCCCCGCCTCGACTTGTGCCGCCTCTACCTGTTTCCCGACGTGACGGCGGAATGACGGACCTCCGGCTCAACGCGTCGGCGGACCTCTGCCTCCCCAACCAGCTGAGCGAGCCTCCCTTGGGTTTTTTCTGGTATGGATTCCTTCCCCTCTCCGTGTGTGTCTACCACTGTGTGCGTCCGTGCTCTGCGTGGGTGTTCTGCTTGTGCGTGTTCTGTGTCTGGATCGCTGGCATATGTGTGCTCCATTACTGAATGACAAATTTCTGAATTTTTGCAATGAACAATGTTCACGTTCTTTCAGGCAGCTCGCCCGCATCCATAATGGTCTGCCATTTTAGAATTAATCAAGATTACCTTTCAGGCTTCTTCCGTTTCCTAGCTAATTCCCTCCTTGTAGGCCCTGTTGTGGTTTGAAATTGGACGTATACACCTGATCCTGTTTTTTCTACACCACCAACTTTACTGTTGATTAGAACTTAACTTCAGGATAAAGCATGTATAACATGGAATGAGAGGAAGAGGGCTCTCAACTACGCATGTTGATTATACTGTTTAGTGTTAGCTCCATCAATACTGATACAGATAGGATTTCCTGTTGTAGATAGGTAAATATTTTGCAACTAATGTAATCTGGTAAATAAGCTAAAGTATTATGATAATGCCACCTTACTGCTATCTCAAAATATGATGCGATTATTCAGTATCCATTGCCGGATATAGTCAGACATAGGCATCAAATCAAGTCCCCCTTAAATCATTTAACTGCACATCACAAGTATCAGCCTCCAACTGCCACCAATATGGCAAGAAACAAGGCATGCTGATCTAATAATCATCTTTATAAATATTTTTAACCTAACAAGTGAGTTGATGATCAGAAAATCATGCTTAACTATCAATAGGTGATCTCATTTCTTGGTTCAGTGAAGTGATTATGTGGAGCTTGTGAGGAAAAAAGATAGGACAAGAAGCCTAGGAGGTTGTCTACAGCCACTGCCCTGGTATGTGACCTGCTTGCATCTTTTCCTGATTACCTCACAACTGCAATTGTCTAAGTTTTATATTATCCATCATTTTATCAGTTTATTTCATGAGTTTGTTTTCTCGAATTTCATGTATGCGTTGATGACCTGAAATCTTAATATATATTTGTTTGACAGTGAGTGCTGCTGAACATGTAAGTATAGTCGGGAGAGTCATGTACTCGCTCGATGCCATAGCTCACCCACCCCGAGTTGTGCCACCCTCTTCTAGCCGGAGGTGCCGCCGTCGCCGCTGTCGAGGACATCTTAATATTAAACAATAAGTATTATATTCATCAAGAGAGTTTCCTCGCTATGTGGTGTTCACATTTGTTCTCTCCAAGATCATGTAGCGGTGTGATTATTTTTTGCAGTTTCCCTAATTACCCTTTTCTCTTATTCTAGCTTCTATATTGTTGTGTTCACAACACTGGAGGGATCTTACTGAAGGAAGATTTAATAATAGGTAGAGTTTCCGTACTTACTGATTATATATATTGACATATGACCATAACTGAACAATGTTGAGTTATCTTCTAAATTGGCATGGATTTTTTTCTGCTAAAAACATTTTCCTATGATATTTTGCAATTTCCATGTTTCGATTGAGCTTGTTATGATTTATCGGTAAGTCCTCTCTCAGCTTTTAGATTTGTGCTTAGATTGTTGTATATAAGCCAAAATGAATCTATAATAAGGGAAATAATCTGACTAAGCTTACTGTATGAATGAAACTGAAGAGTGAAGTGATATTTCTTTCTACCATTGCGTAGCTTTACCATCACCGATCCAGGTTAAGTGTATAATTTGTTTTTCTATGCATTATTCGGATACAAAGGATTCAAGCTGTAAAAAATATGCAGTGGATTCAAGGTTATGCAGAACATTATCGCAAGCTAGCATTTCCTGTGAAAAGAAGACAATTATCTAGAACACGATTAATTTGTAGAAAAAATGCTGATAGGTAAATCTAGATGACCAGCCGACAGAAACTTTACCAGGTTGTTTATTTGTATGAGTTACAATCTATGTTTCTCATTTGATGTTATAGAAAATGTTCTGATGGACTCATTGTTTTTGCTATCTTGGCCTATGTGTTCATCGCAAGTTGTTAGATTTGTCTATAGGGTTTACCATGTGCATTCATTTTGATCACTTTCATCAAATTGCCTTTCTACCATTCAAATTCTTAACAATGTGAATTTTCTTCATGCTGATGGATTGGCCAACTTGTTTTCTGCATCTATGCGATTGCCGATGGAGCGAACAAATTTTTGCTACACTATGAAGTTTCTTTATCTGGTACGTTGAGAAGATGTGAGATTGCATTGTCTTCTTGTTATTAGGGAGACATGGACTTCCCGACAGTTCGAACTTAGGGTTTCAATTTTGTAGTCCAAATATGATCTCCTGACCAGACTGGAATAAGCCTCTTTGTTTTGTTTTCATTTTCGCAGCCCCAAGAGAAGTGCAGAAATGGGTGTTGTGTTCCATGAACACTTGAAATAATTCAGTTCTGGTTTCTATCAATATATTGTTTGTACTGCATATATATTATTTTTAGCTACGCAATTTCCTTCGACAGGCAAAGACTTGTCTATTAGTATCTTTTGTATTTGATGGAATGTTGTAACGAGACAAAACCTTCGAGGCAAGAAACAGGGAACAACAAGCTTGATAGTATTGTACATTTTTTTTATCACTGGAAATTTATATGTACTCATTATATAGCTGGAAAACCGAATGAAAATTAATATGTGCAACATTATTTTTGCATTAATCAATACATGCATTTGCACGTACACGATTACTAGTCAAAAAAGAGGCCCATGGAGGTACGGAACATCGTGCCAAATCGAGAGCTCAGCCCTGGATTTCTATACGGCGCGTATCGCGCCCGGGAGCGATGTAACGCGTACCCCTCGCTCGCTGCTGTTAACATGGGCCAGCCCATTTCGGGGTTTCACCCCGAACCGGTTTGGGAAGGTTCTAGAACCTTCCCTGAACCGGGTTTTTCGTTTTTCCTTTTCTTTTTCTGCTTTCTTTTGTTTTTTCTCTACTTATATGTTTTCATTTTTACTCATTTTTCCCAATTTCCGAAAATCTATTAATTTGTGATTTATTTTTTAAGTCTTTAACTTTTTTTTGGAATGATGAACATTTTTTCAAAACCGTGGTTTTATTTTTACTAATTGGTGTACATTCTCCAAAATCATGAACATTTTTTTGTAACCTTGAACAATTTTTTAACTCACGATTTTTTTTGAAATTGTGAACATTTTCAAAAAATTTTGAACATTTTTTAGAAATTTGTGAACATTCTCTTAAGTCATGAATATGTTTTTACATTCACGGACAATTTTTCTAAATAATGAACATTTTAAAACTATAGACTAAATTTTCAAAATCTTGTAC